GGACAGAGATGGAAAAGGAGGTTATCATCTGCCCATCAGTTAAAGAATAAAAGGGAAAGCCAAAGTCGGCAAGCTGCTAAGTGGACAGATGCAGTTGCTCCTTGGTAAACTATGGAATGCAATCATACAAAGCAGGCCACCTTTTAATGTAACAGAAGTACTAATAACACAGCGGTGGCCAGTCCGCATGCAGCTGGCACACAGTCCCCTTTAGAAGTTGCCGTTTATTAGGAGGAGGCCATGACCCAGTGAGAGAAGGGGCACTAGACCCTCTGAACAGATCTCAAGAACAAATGAAAAACCAGAAGTTTAGGGACTATGGTGGGAAGTTTCACATTGCGTGATTTGGTTCAGTGTAGCGTACACAGTGAAGAGCCAGGTGCTGTAAACTTCCAGCACTCAAGCCGCTGCATAGTCGGCTTAATTATCTGCTTGGGGTGGAGGGGAGTTAGTTCTTGGCAAGGAGGCATGACTGGAGCTCTGTGGGATCTGGCCATTTAAGAGTAAGCAAGGTCTTTTAGGAGGAAACTCATGTCTTAACTTACCCTTCACTGTTTTGGTTTGGTTGGTTTTTAGGGGTTGGGGGTGTTAATTTGTTTGTTTGTGAAACAAGGTCTCCATGGGTAGAGCAGGCTGGCTCAAACTTCCAAACTTCCTGCCTCGGCTTCCAGTGCTGAAAGGATAAGTGTCTGCCACCGTACTTTATGAAAGAAGAGCTTAAATTAGGAACTCAACCCACAGAAATCGAACAGCTAATCCAAGGGTGTGCTTCAGGGTGGTGCTGTGCCAAGAACAGTATCTATACCTTTGGAAACACTGGGTTTAGAGCCTTTGTTTTGCTAAACAAACAAACAGAAACCCTCTACTGTCATTGTATGCAAACAACAGACAATGGGGGAGAAGACTTTAACACAACTTTCTAAAGCTCATAGATTTAAAAATTAGGTTAGAGACATGGCTCAGTGGCTAAGAGCACTGTCTGCTCTTCCAGAGGTTCTGAGTTCAATTCCCGGCAACCACATGGTGGCTCACAGCCATCTATATTGTGATCTGATGCCTTCTTCTGGCATGTAGGTGTACATACAAATAGAGCACTCATATACATTTTTAAAAATGCTTTGAATGTTAAAAATTATAGAAAGGGTATATAACAAGCTAGCCCCATTGATGTGCCTTGTTGCCCTGGACAGGTCTGATCATGTCTGCCATCACAGTTATCATCTTGATTCTGTACTTTGTGATTGACAATTTCGTGATACAACACAAAGAATGGCTCCCTGAGTGCACTCCTGTCTACATCCAGTATTTTGTGAAGTTCTTTATCATCGGCGTCACTGTATTGGTGGTGGCTGTGCCAGAGGGGCTACCACTGGCTGTCACTATCTCACTGGCCTACTCTGTGAAGGTAAGATTGGAAAAATACTGTGTTCTAGAAGGACAGAGATGGAAAAGGAGGTTATCATCTGCCCATCAGTTAAAGAAAAAGCTATTCTGTCCTTTATATACTTTAGATAGTCCCATAAGCAGAAAGAAGTCCCTACCTCTAGGAAATGACCATTTCAGTTAGCATCTTCAAGTCTCATAAAAGTGCTACTCTGCATTTTTGTGGGGGACGTGAAAACTGTTGACTAGGACTTAGCCTTTGATGTATGTTTAAGGGCGCTCCATTGGTCCTCTTTCAATTCCTTTCTCTTTTCTTTTGTAGAAAATGATGAAGGACAATAACTTGGTACGGCACTTGGATGCTTGCGAGACAATGGGCAATGCCACGGCCATTTGCTCTGATAAGACAGGCACGCTGACCATGAACCGCATGACAGTGGTACAAACTTACATTGGGAACACTCATTACCACGAGATCCCAAGCCCTGATGTCCTCCCACCCAATGTTCTGGACCTCATAGTCAACGGCATTTCTATCAACAGTGCTTACACTTCTAAGATTCTGGTAAGCTTTGCCATTGCCTGGGGACCTGGAATAGGTGACAGGGAGCAATATTCACTTTGCCAGAGATAACTCTTCTGTCCTAGTTACTTTTCTATGGCTGTGCTAAAACACCATGACCAAAGCAACTTACGGAAGAAAGAGTTTGTTGAGGGCTTACAGTTTCTGAGGGTTAGAGCTCATTACTGTCACGGCAGGGAGCATGGCAACAGACAGGCAAGCATAGCTCCAGAGCAGTAGCTGAGGGCTTACATCTTGATCCACAAGCAGGAGGCAGAAAGCATGCTGGAGATGACATGAGTGTTTTAAAACTTCAAACTCTCCCCCTAGATTCCCCCCATTGACACGCCTCCTTCAACAAGGCCTTACCTTCTGATCCTTCCTAAACAGTTTTGCCAACTGGGGACCAAGTATTCAAACATTTAAGCCTATGGGGGACATTCTCACTCAAACCACCACACCCTCTATTATTTATTCCATCTGAATTGCCATCCTACATTCCATTCCACTTCTTACTGCTGACTGAAGGTGTTCAGGGTGAACCTATGGCAGTGTCTCTGAGAAGGAACCTCATGCCTACAGCAGACTTGTACTTATCCAGATTTAATTACTAACTTTTCAGAAACAGAGAGAAAGCATTAGAATATAGTGTCCAGAGGATGGGGCACCCCATTACCATAGAACAACTGTAAGGTACCAAGACCTGTATGGCTATGAGGCAAGGTCACCTTTGAAAGAACAAAATCAACTGCTGCCTCCCCTGTGGGCACTGGTATGCCTACCAAATTTACCTGCCTCAGCTCTCTCTCTGTCCAGGGATCTCACTCATTGCTTCCATGTCTGTTTTTGTTTCTGTTTTTCTTTTCTCTCTCAGCCTCCAGAAAAGGAGGGAGGCCTACCCCGGCAAGTAGGCAACAAGACAGAGTGTGCTCTGCTGGGCCTTGTCACAGATCTGAAGCAGGACTACCAGGAAATTCGCAAAGAGGTGCCTGAGGAGAAGTTCTTCAAGGTGTACACCTTCAACTCGGTGCGCAAGTCCATGAGCACCGTCATCAGGAGATCTGAAGGGGGCTTCCGCATGTTCAGCAAGGGAGCCTCGGAGATAATACTGCGCAAGTGAGCCCCCTCCTCCCGTTTTTCCCCTCAGGAAGGTCTGAGGGCCCATGCCAAACCAGTCTGAAAGATGAGTGACCCTCCAGCCAGGTAGTGACATCTGAGCTTTTACTCAGGATAGTAATTGTTTTTAAGAACTTTGCTGATTCCTTTTATTTAATTATTGCAACTCGGCAAGGTGGGTATTATTTTGACCTTTTTTGCAGATGAGAAAATAGAAGCAGTGAAGTTGCATAACTTTCTCATAGAGAGAGCAGTTAACAAGTGCTACAGCCAGGATTCAGCCTGGAATAGCCTGAACTTCCATTTCCTAGCGAGTTCGTGGAGGTAGTCAGAATATGCCCTATGTCACTGTGCTCAAAAGAGTTGGTGAGCATAAGATGCCCTGTGTATACTAAGAGCTAGCAGAGCTGCTTCTCTGATCCCTTTCCTTCCCATTCTCAAGTCCGATTACACACTGTATACCTTTAAAAGTAGCTAAGCTGCCTATAGCTTGTCCCAGTCAACCCAACTTCCGAATATAGCCAGGAGGGATGGGACATACCCATGACCCAAGCTTTGGGGAGGCTGAGGCAAAAGGGTTACAAGTTCAGGGTCATTCTAGAGTAGTCCATCTCAAAAAAGAAAGGAAAGGAGGGAGAGACAGAGAAGGAAAAAGGAAAAGAAGAAAGAAAGTTTAGCATAGTGGCATATGCCTTTAATCCCAGCACTTGGAAGGCAGAGGCAGGAGGATCTCTATGAGTTCAAGGCCAGCCTCATGTGCATAGCAAGTGCTAGTACTGGCAGGATGAGAGAGCTTGTCAGAGAGAGAGGAAAAAGAAAAAAGAATCCTCAAAAAGAAACATAGGAACTAGGGGTATATCTTAGTTGGAACAGTGTTTGCCGAATGGGCACTAAAGCAGGTGTGGTACAGGCCTGTATAAATCCAAAACCTGAAAGACAGCAGCAGGATGACCAAAGTTCAAGGTCAACGTATATAACAAGTTTGAGGCTAACCTGAGTTATTTGAGACCCTATCTCAAAGGAGAGAGAGAGAGAGTTGGATGGATGACAGATAAAAGATGTATTGACTAAGAAATAGTGTCTCTAGGAAAAATACAGAATCATCGTAATGCCTGTGATTGTGTGATTGTTGAAATGTGTATAGTGGGAAGGCAGAAACTGATTTCTGACTACACATCTGCCCAGATGTAATCGGATTCTGGACAAGGGAGGAAAAGCCATACCATTCAAAAATAAGGACCGAGACAATATGATACACAATGTCATTGAGCCCATGGCCAGTGACGGACTCCGAACTATCTGCATAGCTTACCGGGATTTTGATGATGATGCAGAGCCCACGTGGGATAATGAGGCTGAAGTCCTCACTGAGCTGACCTGCATTACAGTGGTGGGCATTGAGGACCCTGTGCGCCCAGAGGTAAGCCTTGTCAGTTTCTAAACTGAAGAGAAAAGGTATGAAAGCAGAGGTGCTTGTCTCCCACTGGTCACTGGTTAGGGTACAGGATCCAGTGTGACCGAATGAGCCACCTGGGAGTCACAAGAAGAAGGCAGGGATTTAAGGCCTAGCTGTGACCCCAGACACGTTGCCTAACTACTTGTCACTTGCAGAGACAGACAACTCTCCAATACCTGCTTTCCACACATCAGCTGTGGAGTGCCACGTGGGTCAAAGGCAGTATCCCGAGGGTCCATGCTATCTGAGGAGCAAGCAGTCACGGTTCTTTTGGGCTTTTTGCTTGGTACATGGGAATAGTTGGGAGCAGAATTAATCAGAAGGCAATTCTTCAGCCACCTTCTTTCAACCAGCATATTCTTTTTGAGCAGTCCCTATGTGCAGAACATTATTCTAGGCACAAGAGAATGAAAAAGCTGAAAATCTCAGCTAGGTGGGACCAGTACCTGTGAAGGCTGAGATGGTGAGGTGTCCTATCACCACCATGAGCTCATGGAGTGGAGCTTGGACCAGGTGGATAGAGAGTGGTCAGAGCTGCTTCTGGGAAGGAGAGCAGTGACTGTATCACTGGATGTTGACCAAGCCTCCCAGGGAGCCTGAAGGAAAGGGAGGCACAAGTGTTCACATCTACCTCTCAGAGCAAATTCCCCCTCTACCTAGGGGACCAGGAGTGAAATTTAAATGGCTCCTGTGAGAAAGACAGGTGCAGAGGGGTCACTGAGTACTATAAAAACAATCAGACATAGCTTCTGTCCCACCTGCAGTGAAGTGAGAGCTAAACCAGGGCAGTGAGCCATATATCACCAACCTCATAACCACTTTTCTTTTTTTCTTTTTTCTTTTTCTCTTTTTCTTCACTCTCCTTAGGTACCAGATGCAATTGCCAAGTGCAAACAGGCTGGCATTACTGTCAGAATGGTGACAGGTGATAACGTCAACACAGCACGGGCCATCGCCACCAAATGTGGCATTCTGACCCCTGGAGATGACTTCTTGTGCTTAGAAGGCAAAGAATTTAATAGGCTTATCCGCAATGAGAAGGGCGAGGTAGGTTGGTGGAGGGACCAGCAAGGGCACCACCTACAAGGGAATGGCTGATTCCAGTGTGCAGCATCTTTGGCTTGTGGGAGCAGGTGGGTGGCTTCTAAACTGAAGTCTATTCATTGGGAAACAGCCCTTCCCACCGAGCTGCTCCTCTGGTGAATGGGGAGTCATCTTATCTTCATTCAGTTACCTCTGGGGAATAGAATCACTAACTTCATTAGCTTTCTGTTTTGTTTTATTTTTGTAACTCATAGAATAATTTCTGTGCTGCTTTTCCCCTACCCTATCCCTACAATGTCACCAACCTGTGGCTGTGGGTAGCACAGGCTTGTTCTTGGATGCAGTGTGACTATAGAATAGACAAAAGCATCCTGGTCTACATGGAATCAGACCTAAGACCCCAGCAGTTTCATGGTAGCCTCCCAAGCAAGGCATCAACCTTGACCCTCCTCCTGAAACAGGGCTGAGATATAAGGATGGCTTCCAGATAGGAAATTGGGAGGGAAAAGAAGATAAGGCCCTGCATGGCCACCATCAGTGAAACCATATTGGCTATTTCATCTCCTCAGAGGCCAGGGGATAAGGGTCTCTCCAGGGCTACAAAGTTTGAGCACTCTTGGAAGCAGGGATAATGTGAAGGAGTAAGATTTCACTGAACAAGCTGCACCGAGTTTGACTGATCAAAGTGCCTCTGGTATTGACAGGTTGAACAAGAAAAGCTGGACAAGGTCTGGCCCAGGCTTCGGGTACTGGCACGGTCTTCTCCCACGGACAAGCACACGCTGGTGAAAGGTGAGGTCAGCCTGTGAGTATGTGCCTGCCGTAGATGAGGGCAGGGCAGGGAAAGGAAAGTTAAAGAGCAATCCTCAGCCAAGCTGGAAATGTAGCCAGGGGCAGAGTGTTTGCTTAGTATACACAATTCCCAACACCGCCCCCCCCCCACACACACACAAAAGGAATAGAAAAGGTATACCCATTGAAGAGTTAGGCATGGTGACATACACCTGTGGTCCTAAAACTCAGGAGGAGGTGGAGGCAGAAGGGTCCAAAGTTTGGTCATCTTTGGCTACATATTGAGTTCGAGGCCAGCCTGAGCTACATGGGACCTTGTCTCAAAACAAAAAGAGCCATCAGCCAAACTCTTCTCCTGTCCCCAGTAAGGAATCCTGGGAGAGGTCCCAGGCTAATATGGAGAGCATTGAGTTTAGCAAATGTCTGAGCTCCTGGCAAGTATATTATATAGAGAGTTGTGGTTTTTGGTTTGAGGTTTTAGTAGGGTTTGGGAGTTCTTTGTTTGATGTTGTTTGCAGGGGATGGGGTGGGGAAGGGGATGAGACAGGTTCTCGTGTAGACCAGATTAACCTCAATTCCCTAAATAGCTGAAGATGGCCTCGAACTCTTGATCCTCCTGCCATTACTACCCAAGTACTGGAGTTGAGGGATAAGCCATCACAGCTATCTAGAGCTGAGGGTGGCGTTATTAGTCTGCATCTGGTAGGCTGAAGTAGGACACTTGAACCCAGGTGTCTGTCTTCAAAGCCATCTCATGCCTTCCCAGCTACCGAGCAGCTTCGTAAGGCACTGGGTGAAGACTGCCTTTCTCAGCTCAGAATGACCTTAGTGAAACAATTGCCCTTGGGTGGTCACTGTAGACCCAGCAGCAGAGAGAAAAGGGGAGGAGAGAGGAGGGGCAGAATGATAGAGATGGGGAAGGAGACCAAAAATGTCTTTCTGATGGGAAACAGTACTTGCCACATGACCTCAGGTAGCACATGTGTGTTCACTATTGGGTGTGTGTCTGTTTGTCCCAGGTATCATTGACAGCACTATTGGGGAGCATCGGCAGGTGGTGGCTGTCACTGGTGATGGAACAAATGATGGACCCGCCCTAAAGAAAGCAGACGTCGGTTTTGCCATGGTAAGCTCACCAGGTCTCCCCTTGGGTTGCCTTCTTCATCAGGAGCCAGGGCAAGCATCTGCTTCCTCTGCCTTCACATCCCACCTGTGCCCCTCTCCCCACCTCCATCTCTCCCGCCTACCTGGCCAGTAGTATGTGTGGCTGTTGAGGAAATCACAAAGTGGCTTACCCAGAAAAACAAGAGCACTGCGGTGATGCTGTTTGCCTGAGCGAATTCCAGGAGCTTCAGCTTCCACATAGAACATGTTCAGTGTCGTGCCCTTCACATGTGAGATCAGGAGTATCTGGATCTTTTGGCAAATTCCTTTTAAAGTCAAGTGTCCCAAAGAGGCATCTTGCTTCAGTATGGGAGGATAGGTGCCAAAAGTCCTTGGGGCTTTGGTTTGGTCTGAGGTTTTTGTTGGTGCTACAGGAGGTGTGATGATTGTTGCAAGTACAGCAGTTGATTCTGATGTCCAGAGAAGGTTAGAAGTTCTGAGTACAAAGCACATCCTCACGCTCAAGCAGGTTATTGCTCCTAGCCTCCGTCCTTGTCTAACTGTTGTTGGGATCTAAGCAGTGGAAGGGAATTTAGGAAGGGGTGTGTGAGAGAGAGACTAGCCAGATTTGGAGGTACATACCTATAATTCCAACATTTGGGAAACTGAGGCAGGAGGATCTCAGGTTCAAAACCAGCCCAGTCCAAACCAGTTCCAGACCAGCTTGGATACTTACTAAGGCTCTATCTCAAAAAGAAAGAAAATAACCAACTTCTGTGGAACTCTTTTAAAAAAATTTTTTTTGTAGTTTTTTTGTTTTTGTTTTTGTTTTTGTAATTAGATGTATATATGTGCATCTGTGTGTAAGTATATGCACAAGTAGGAGGAGGCCCATGGAGGTTAGACACAGTTGTGAACCACTCCACGTGTGAGCCTGGGATCAAACTCTGGTCCCCGAGGGTGCATGCCCTTAACCACCAGTTCTCTCTTTCCTAGGAAGCCCTAAAACAAGATGAAACCAAACCACAGTTTTAATTCTAAGAAACTTTTAAGTATGCTAAAGAAGTTAGAATCATATAATGGTCCTCATAGACTTGTCACTGTGCATCAATAGGTACTCCCATCAGCTTCCGCTATCCAGCAGAATTATTCTGTAGTCAGTCCAAGACATTTTGTCATTTGTATTCATAAAATTTTGAATATATCTTCTAAATAATATATATCAATAAATGCTTGTAGAGAATTATAATAGAATTTTTCATTTAAAAACTGGTAATTCAAGCAGGGCATGGTGGCACATGCCTTTAACCCCAGCACTCAGGGAAGCAGAGACAGGCAGATCAGTGTGAGTTTGTGGACAGCCTGGTCTACAAAGTGAGTCTAGGACAGCCAAGGCTACACAGAGAGCCCTTCTCTGGGGCAGGAAATCTGATAATTCTAGCCAGGTGTGGTGGCACACGCCTTTAATACCAGCACTTGGGAGGCAGAGGCCAGCCTGGTCTACAGAGTGAGTTCCAGGACAGCCAGGGCTAAACAGAGAAACCCTGTCTAGGGGAAGGGGGAAAAAAAACAGGGATGGAAAGATGTCTGGCTGCTCTTCTAGAGGACCGCAGTTCAATTCCTAGCACCCACATGGCAGCTCACAACTGTCTCTAATTCCAGTTCCACCTTCACACAGGAACACATGCAGGCAATACATAAAAATAAATAAATGTACATAAAAATAAGTAAATGTTAAAGAAAAAACAAACCTGATAATTCCTCACTAGCGTCAAATTCTAGTTGGTGTTTAAATTTCCCCCAATGACTCATAAATGTTTTTATAGTTTATCTGTCCAAGTCAGAATCCAAATAGGATCCATGCCTTATAGTTTTCTAAGACGTCTCTAAATCCACATCAGTGGACCTTGAAGTGTGTCCTTTGTGGACTTGTTGAGACAGTTCAGTGGAGAAGAGCATTTTCTGCTCTAACAGAGGATGAAAGTTCAAGTCCCAGCACCTACAAAGTGACTGTAACTCCAGTTCCGGGGGATTTGACTCCCTTTTCTGGCAGACATATTAGGCACACATAGGGTACATATACATACATGCAGGCAAAACACCTATACACATAAAATGAATTTTAAAAAAATGTAGCCCAACTTCCAGTGCAAGAGCAGTAACTGGAAACCTATGGAAATGCAGATTCTCAGGCACCACCTAAGCCTACTGGGTCAGAAGACCTGGAGTTGGGAATCCTAGTGTGCCCTAATGTTTAAGAACCACTGATTCAGCCTGTGTCCCAAAGATGTCCTTGTATTCACAGATTTACTAGGGCTCAGTGGAACCCGGCCTATGTGCTCACAATGGAAGGCCTTTATCACAGATATGTACTGAGGATACAGTTAGATCACAAGAGAAAAAGACACTAACAGAATCCAGGGGATTCGTGCACAGTTTCCTTGTGCTCTCCCTGCCACAGGGGGGCGAGGGGAGTTCATTCTTGTGTGTGTAATGCCTCTGACAGGGAACCTGTCACATCAGTTCCCAAAGATTTTATTAATACTGGCCTTTGGGGGAGTTTCTAACACATATCAAGCTTCCAGACCCCCAAATGGGAAGCAGAAGCCAGATGATTTCAGCATAGTCTACCAGTCTATGGATGGCATGCAGCCAAGGACGGAGGCCCAACACAAAATTATAAAATGTACTCTAAATACCATAAGATTTTTTTTTTGTGAGGGTTTGTGTTGTTTATTGTTGTTGTTATTATAACTCCGTTACACCCTTTTTGAGTGTAAACTTTGTAGATGACAGTGTTGTCACAGTGTCAAAAGGTTGGATACCTGGCAGAGTGACCGCCTGCCTCAGTTAAGTGCTGACGACAGGGAGTGTTCTGAGAGCTGTGTTCCCAGGAGCCAGCCTTGCAAGTGGGCCTTTCTAAGGATGGCGGCCTCAGGGCCACTGCGCTGAGATTTTGCACAGTTCTCTTCCACCTTTGGCATGGCTATCATGTTGAAGAAACTGGGTTTATTGTCTACACAGGCTGTTCCAACAGCACAAATGTGTTCTCCTTTAACATTGATATTGTTTGATCCCTCGGTTTTGATTTAGGGTGGGATTTTATGATTTTGTTTGCACCTCACCCCTGTGTGTGTCTGTGTATGTCTGTGTGTCTTTGTGTCTGTGTGTGTCTTGGACCCACCAAAGTATCGGTGTGGAGGTCAGAGAACAGTTTTTGGAAATTGGTTTTCTTCTTCCACTGTGGGATCCTAGCATCAAACTCAAGTTAACAGATTTGCATGACAAGGGCGTCTTGTGAGACAGTGTCCTGCTCTACCGCCTGGCCTGAAACTGGCTGCATAGACCAAGCCTGCCTCTACCTCAAGCACTGGGATGAAAGAGGTCCTGCATCCCACATCTGGCTTGTTTTGCTTGTTTGTTTATTTCATTTTGTTTTGTTTTTCTGCCTCATTTTGGGTTTGAGACATGGTCAGGCCTTCCCCTGAGTCTGTAGCCCAGGCTATCCTGAAAATTAAAGCAGTTCTCCTGCCTCTGTATCCTGAGTGCTGGAATCACACTGTACAACACTATGCCTGGTTTGTCCCTTGTGTTTTATATAGGTTAGTCTAGAAGCAATCAAGTTCTAGAGCTCATTGGGAGCTGTGAAATGACACTGTTTCCATTTTATTTATTAACTTGAATGCTTACACAGAAGGAGATTTCCCTTCACCTCTGTCCTTACTCTCTGCTTCAGTTCCCACATGAAAGGTGGTTAAATGTTTGATTCTTTTTCTTTCCTTACCACTGATGTCTTGTTTCATTCTTTAAGTATTATTACAGACACGTTTTTTTGTTTTGTTTTGTTTTTTAGTATTTGGATTGAACCTAGGGCCTCATGCATGTCAGAAAAGTGCTCTAGCACTGAAATGCCTCAGCCAAAACAAGGGAATTTGAATATATGTATGATGCATTTTAACCCATTGTTCTTGTTATTGTTGTCTTTATGCTCAAATTTGATCCATCATTAGCCAAGAGAAACCTCTTCCATGTCTCTGAGTCCTTTTGATGTAACCCTCAGTGTCTCTTATCACTTTCCTGGTTTCTTGCCTGATAGGACACTGCCTTTTGTTGTCTTTGTTTTGAGTTTTGAGGCAGTATCTTTCTGTGTAGCCCTGGCTGTCCTGGAACTTGCTCTGTAGATTAGACTGGCCTCGAACTCACAGAGATCTGCCTGCCCTCACCTCCAAATGCTGGTATTAAAAGCATGCACTGCTACCACCTGGCTGGACCTACTTACCACCTGGCTGGACCTACTTTTTTTCTCAGGTCTGGCATCCTGCACTCCTTATGTGTGCCCTGCCTGATTTTAGTGACAAGCCATATTGGGGACACAATCATAACATGAAGATGCACCTTCTCTCTGAGCACACTCCATTTCTAATTCTAGTTAGTGGATAACGAGGCTAAAAAATGAGATTTCATGGCCCAGTTTTGTTTCTATACCTGTGTTTAAGAAAAAAAAATGCTTCCTAAATTGATGTTCATGTTTCTCACCCAAATTTAAAATTCTGGAATGCTAAGCACCTACTTTATTTCTAATTCTCTAGTTTGTTTCTAGGTTCCCTAATTTTATGTTTGTGGTTCTTCAGATAAAAACTGTGACTCCTAATGCTGTTAATGTAATTATTGACTGTGTCTAAAAATATATGTAATAGTTATAAAATAACAAGAAAAATAAAAGAATTACTAAAAAAAAATCTTTTATCATTTTGTTTTGAGACAGGGTTTTACTATGAACCTAGGTTGGTTACACCCTTACTATATAGCCCAGGAAAGCCTTAAACTCACAATGCCCCTGCCTCAGCCTTCTGTGTGCTGGAATTTTGGGCATGTACCACCACACTGAGCTAAATATTTATCTTTTTATTTAGTTTTTTAAAAAATATTTGTTATTGTTTGACAATTCTATACATATATATATTATTCTTATTGTCTTTTATCTGTAGTTATCTCTTACTAGAAATACATCTAAAAAACATAATTTTTAAATTAAAAAATAGAGGCTGGAAAGAGTCTAGAGATTAAAAACAGACTGTTTTTCCAGACGACCAAGGTTCTAATCCCAGCATCCACATGGTGGCTTACAACTGCCTGTAACTCCAGTTCCATGGAATCTGCTGCCCCCTTCTGGTTTCTGGAGACATCAGGCATTGGTGCACAGACATGCAAGCGAAACACTAGTGCATATATAATGAAATAATTTAAGTCTTTAAATTAAAAAATAGCAGTTGAGCTGTGTGGTGGTGTTGGCACACACCTTAATCTCAGCACTCAGGAGGCAGGGGCAGGTGGGTCTCTATGAGTTCAAGGCCAGCCTCTGGTCTGCAGAGTGAGTTCTAGGACAAACAGGGCTATACAAAGGAACCCTGTCTCAAACCCCACTCACCTCCAAAAATATCAAATAGGGGCTAGAGAGATGGTGTGGCAGTTAAGAGCACTGGCTGCTTGTCCAGAGGACCCTGGTTTGGGTTCTAGTAACCAACATGACAGTTTACAACCATCAGTGACTCCAGCTCCAGGGGGCACGGTGCCCTCTTCTGCTCTCCACAGGCACCAGGCATGCCTGTGATGCACCAACCCATATATACAAAATAAAAATTAATATTTTTTTGCGAATACAATATAGTTCTACTTCATCCTCCTAGATAAAATGGTAGCATCTATATGTTCTTTCCCACCTCTCTTTTCTTCAGTTAACAGTATTTCCTGGGGCTGGACAGGTGGCTTAGAGGCTAAAAGCACTATCTGCTCTTCCAGAGGTCCTGAGTTCAATTCCCAACAACCACATGCTGGCTTACAACTAATATATAATGAGATCTGGTGCCCTCTTCTGGTGTGCAGGTATATGTGCAGACAGAACATTGTATACATAATAAATAAATCTTAGAAAAATATAAAAGAAAGTGTGGCCTGAAGATTATGTCATAGTAGTGAGTAGATGCAAGCAAACTACCCTCCTTTTTCTTTCCACAGGGCACAGATGCTGCACAGAGGGCAGCATGTATCTGTATTTGAGGTTTAGGGGGAGAGGACAGGATTGCCTAGTCTAACCTCCTGCCTTGAGGTTATAGACATGCTACCATGCCCTACACTATAGAACTTTTTGGTAGGGAAACTGAATTGCATTCTCTTATCTAGACAGTCTTCATTTGCTGCAATCTAGATAGTAAACTAATATTACTAGATAAACAGAACAATCAAGTACACACCAAAATAAAGAATAAGTTCCTGGGGCTAGAGAGATAGAGAGATGGTTCAGCAGTTAAGAGTGATTGGTGGAAGAAGAAGAAGGAGGAGGAGGAGGAGGAGGAGGAGGAGAGTGATTGCTGGGAAAAAAAAAAGAATGACTGGTGCTCTTGCAAGGACCTGAGTTCAGTTTCCAGCACCCACATTGGCTGGCTCATGACCGCCTGTAATTCCTTATTCAGGAAATCCAGCATCCTACCCTGGACTCTGCAGGTACATACACACAGAAACACATAAATATTTTTTAAAGTTTAAAGATTCTACAAAAGAATAAGCTCTTTTGGGTTAGAGTTGCAAGATGTATGACAGAAGCACAGACTGGGGCTGTACTGTTCACCAGCACTTGGGAAGTAGACACAGGAAAACCGGGAATCTGGGGCCAGCCTTGGCTACCTAGCGAATCTGAGGCCAGCCTGAATTACATGAGACCGTAACCCAAAGAAGAGGAGGAAGAGGGAGAAGCTGTGTATAGCAGTGACATATGTGCTAGAATGGCAGTGTTTAATTGACCCGGATAATAAAGATCGTAGGATTCAAACATATGATCAAGGAGGATGTTTCTGATTTAGAAAAATGATGGGAATAAAAGCCCAGACTAAAAAGGTAAGGGTGATTCTGGAGATTTTTAATAAACCAGTAAGTTTTGAGCAGAAAGCTTGCCTGAGAGCAGGCTGGGGCATAAATCCAGGGTCACTGTGAGGACATGGACTGTCAGCTAGAGAGTTCCAGGCCATCTTTTCAGAAGTCCTCCATAGGTTCGCAGTGACAGGGCTCCAAACAAGAACAGAACATGTTATGTTACAGGACAGTCCCTCCTAAAACAAACTGCAGGGTTTCCAAAAGGTGCCTAGGAGGCATGGACTTCAGTCCTGCTCATGTTGAAAGAAATGCACGAATTTGAAGGTAGCATAAATGGGACTTGCCCAATCCCTTTCAATTCTGGGGTGGGGAAGTAATAGGGTAGGGAAAGAGACTATTCAAAGACGCCTAACTCCTCATCTGGGAGAGGAGCCAGGCAATGATGTCAGACCCCCAGGTGAGTGATAGTCTCTCTCCTCTACCACCAAGCAGCCATGGACCCAGTTGTCACTGTGGGAGCCTAGCCAAGCTCAGCACTTCCAACAAAAGTGCATCAACCCATCACTTCTCTGTCACCTGTGCAGCGTTCGCAACCCAGAGCCTCTTCAGAACGAAGGGCAGAGGCAGTGAGGGAGGCCGAGCTTCATGCACACATACCTTTCTCAGGGTGTTTGCTAGAGGCTCTGAGAGGGCAGACAAGTGGGTGCCCTCTGTTTTCTGTTGTGGCTACAGTGCCCTCTAGTGCCTGCACCTGGTTCTGAGGCTTCCCGTCCTTAAACCCTGGGTTCAGTGTGCTACCTACTCTTTAACTGCTCACTGTCTGCCTCCCTCTCCCCCTTCAGGGCATTGCAGGCACAGATGTGGCTAAGGAGGCGTCAGACATCATCCTGACTGACGACAACTTCACCAGCATTGTGAAGGCAGTGATGTGGGGACGAAATGTATATGACAGCATCTCCAAGTTTCTGCAGTTCCAGCTCACCGTCAATGTGGTGGCCGTTATAGTGGCCTTCACTGGAGCCTGTATCACTCAGGTAGGGTGGGGCTTGGATGGCAGGGATGACTCAAGGAGCTCAGGAACAGAGGGTAGGGGGTACAGTGTATCTACTTAGAAGTGAGGACAAGGATGTCCTAATGCTGTGTGGACACTTCGCTGGACCAGGTCTACAGTCTCTACCTGCTTGGTCAGAATAATGATTTACCTACCATTCATTTAGTTTTTTGAGTGGTTTTTGGTTTGGTTTGGTTTGGTTTGGTTTGGTTTGGTTTGGTTTGGTTTGGTTTGGTTTGGTTTGGTCAGCAGCTATGAAGTACACTTACGTGGATTATCTTTCTTTTCAAAGTAAGCTTTCATGTCAGATATCTAAATTTGTCAAGGTCACTCTGTACCCAGGTAGCCAAATTCAAGGTCTAGTGGAGCTAGGCCACCTCAACAGGATGATGGAGCTGGAGAATGCGATGGGTTTGGTTCTCGAGCAAGCTGAAAGAACTGGTTCTTCTTCCCACTAGGATTCCCCACTGAAAGCGGTGCAGATGTTGTGGGTTAACCTGATCATGGACACATTTGCCTCCCTGGCCCTGGCCACAGAGCCCCCAACCGATTCTCTGCTGAAGCGTCGCCCCTATGGACGAAACAAGCCTCTGATCTCGCGCACTATGATGAAGAACATCTTGGGCCATGCAGTGTATCAGCTCACAGTCATCTTCCTCCTTGTCTTTGCTGGTAAGCCATGGTTGGGAGAGGGAGGACAGCTGTTAGGTGCTAGATTTAGTTAGGGCCAGAGATGGCTGAAAGAGAACGTAGCGTGGGAGCTGGTGAAGTACAGACAGGTGCAATAGCATCTCCATCAGTGAGTGTTCACTGAGTATTCCCATGCCAGACATAGCCTTCCATCATGCCACAACACAGGGAAACAAATACCAGTGGAGCCAACCGGCAGGCAAGATCAGATAGGTTGAGACCAGAGCCAACATTTAAAATATTTCATTAAGGCAGGCTGGAGGAAGTACAACTAAAAGTACTTGTTGCTCTTGCAGAGGACCCAAGTTCAGCTCTCAGCACCCACATGGTGGTTTACAACCATCTGTAAATACAGTTCCATGGGATCTGATGCCCCCTTCTGACCTCCAGTGGCACATACATACATATAGGCAAAACACTCATACACATAAAATAAAAGATATAAATATTGGCCGGGTGTTGTGGCACACACTTAATCCCAGCACTCGGAAGGCAGAGGCAGGGGAGTTCAAGGCCAGCCTGGTCTACAAAGTAAGTCCAGACAGCCAAGACTACACGGAGGAATCCTGTCTCAAAAAACAACAACCAACAACAAAGATAAATCTAAGATAATTTTTAATGGGTTATTTTAAAAAAGTAAATGTTCAGTAACTTACGTAACTCAGAAACTGGTCAATGTGAATCTTCTAATGGCCAGAAGCCACCAGCATGGCTCTCCCAACACTTTCTGTCTCACCCTGAACCCTCACCAAGACCACAGTCATCCTCTAACACATGTCCTCCTACTAGGTGAGAAGCTGTTTGACATCGACAGTGGACGGAAGGCGCCTCTCCACTCACCGCCCAGCCAGCATTATACCATTGTTTTCAATACCTTTGTGCTCATGCAGCTCTTCAACGAAATCAACTCCCGGAAGATCCACAGCGAGAAGAACGTCTTTGCAGGCATCCACCACAACATCATCTTCTGCACTGTGGTGTTAGGCACCTTCTTCTGCCAGGTGAGATCCATCAGGAGCTGGAGTAGGAGGGCTGGGAGATACAGGGCAGAAGCTTACAGCCACAACTCTCTAATGTGCCCAAGATGAAAGAGGGGAGGTTATGGGGACCAAGGCTATGAGTAAACACTTTGGGATCCTCAGTTTGCTTCTGTGTGCACCTTGTTCTAGAACTGAGCCCAGTCAGCATGTTACCTGCAAATATGACTTCTATACGTTCATGATCTTTGTAATTGTGCACTCTCTTCTACCTTCTTTCCGTGTCAGTGCGCATGAAATCTGTGTGTACTGGCAGTGTAGGCTCCCCGTCCCTGCCCTTTTGTTCTGAATGGGCTTATGATTGAAAATGCTGCACTATTCACAAAGGAAGGGATGGCTGCTGCATGTGCAGCTGCTGGGCTAACCCTGGCCTGGGCTCCTGTTATGGGAACGGTTATGGTTACCTGCTAGTGGAAAGATGGGCTCCTTCCTTCTCGCCCTAATCAGAGGCTCACTAAGACATGTGGCTACCAAGGGTTATGAGCAGGCCGCACAACAAAAGGACATCTTCCTGGGGCTGAAGACATGGTTGAGCAGTTAAGAAAAGACCAGAGTTTGAATTCTGGCACCCACATCACTTGACTCACAATCACCTGTAACTCTAGCTCCAGGGGATCTGACACTCTTCTGATTTCTGTGGCACACACACACACACACACACACACACACACACACACACATGTTCTTCTTCTGCAGTGCCTTCTCTCTGTCACACACTAGCCTCAGTCACAGGAAGCCTCCAGTGTCCTCTACTTCTGCCAGACCATTTGCTAATCACTGTCACAATAGTCATAGTGACAGCATGATTCCCATCAAAGTGTTCTATAAAAGACTATTTCTGTCACCCTTCTCCACTGCTAGTTAATCTTTCCTATTCCACAAAAAAATAGGACTTGCACCACAAGGGCCCTGCAGTGGTCACTGTAGTCTCTGCCACCCTGATGATCCTGGAAGGCTGACCTCCTGTGATTAGACTGCCCATTATTTTCCTCTGTTTCAGATTTTGATCGTGGAGTTAGGGGGTAAGCCCTTCAGCTGTACCAGCCTCAGCCTGGAACAGTGGTTGTGGTGTATCTTCATAGGGATTGGAGAACTTTTGTGGGGCCAGGTGAGTGTGCTGTGCCCTCTACAGATCGCCAGTGCTGCAGACTTTGCTCTGAATGAGAGGGACATGTGGCTGGCCTCCCAGGTCCTTGTTTCACCTGATTCTCCCTCTTTCCCCCTCCCCTCCACAATTTCAAGGTAACTTCTATCTTGGGGTAACCTTTGCCTTCACTTGAGGGGCATTAGGTTCTTTGCCCATGCCTAGAGATTAGAAAAAAAAAAAAACTAAGTTTTTTTTTAAACAAAGGTAGAATTTTTTCCTTAGCAATTAAATCTGAGAACCTTAAAAGTAGAAGAGTTTACAGGGCAGACGTCATGCTGACGAAGCAGCAGTCTGGCCAGGAGCTGTTGAACTGCTTTGGTTCAGGGCTTCTCCCTCCTGTGCTTCATGATGGCTGGTTAAATAACCAACCACCTCGTGAGAGAAATCAGTACTACAAATGCTCCAGAGAAGTATGGCTCATTGATCAGCACGGCCTCTGGCGACTGAATCACCCTGCTCCTTTTCACAGGCTGAGCAGGGCAGGTCACTTAACCACTCCATTTATCCCATATAGGATAAGAGGCATCACTAATTCTTGTTAACCAGTAAATAGTTACTATACAAAAAAATATGACAGTACCTGTTGAAAGTACTGTGACTGTTAGTATTAAGGACAATAATGTCATCTTAGCTGAGTTTCTTTTGTAGTAAATAATAGAAAAGAGTTTTGGGCTATGTAATGTTTATTATTAGCCCTAAAATTATCATGGTGGTATTATTTAACCCGCTATCACAAATAACACCTGTTAGATTTATAATTCCCTTATTTACCATGAGTTGGGCAGATATTTCACTTACACTGACTCAATATCCTCACCATCCATCTCCCAGCCCCCATCCAATGCCATCCACCTTAATCCTCCTCACTTGGACTACCTTTCATCCATAATCCCATGATACTTGCTTATATTCTTCATCTGGGTCTTTTCACCCCATTATTGGAATACTTCCTTGGCCCACATGGTTGTTTCTCCACACTAACCCATCATGGCATCCTCCTCCTTCCTCTCCTCCTGTCCTTCTGTCCTTCCTGTGATTCCTTATGGTATTCTCCAAAGCCAAGGAACCATAGCCACGCCTACCCCATTCTTCCCTGCCCAGGTATAGGCTGTTTAATTAGCCAGTTGGGTCTAATGACTTAGGCAGGTTTTTATGCAGAGGGCCAGTAATTAGCATCAGACCAATCTCCAACAAGTTTCACCCTTCTGTTAGTACCAGCCTTAGCTCCAGCCTGGCCTTTTCTCTGCAGATATAATGTCTCTGCTGAGAATCCCGTAGTGCCCCCTTCAGAAGCTAAGGATGGGAGTAAGGAAGGGGTGAAACTCTTAGATAACTGTCTTCCAGTTCCTTTCTCAGTCCTTCAACTCCATATATACAATGTGCCTGTCACCTAGCTTGGTTTGCCCCAGCCCCATTTCTCCCCGCTGTGTGCCTGCTTTGTACTTCTGTTCTGCTGTCTTAAAAGACAAGGGTCACACTGGGAAAAAGAACCCAGACAGAGACCGAGCGTGAGTATAGTGAGTGTATCGATGCACATGGCTGGGAGACTACAGGAATCAAGTCCCTTCTGCGTGTCTGTGAGTGCTGGCACCTTCCTAAGAGCTGAGGCTGGAACAACTGGTTATGCTTCTGGGAGATTGGTGCTTCTTGGTGCTATCCTGATGGGAAAAGCGTGTAGCTGACAAACCACTCAAGGGCCTGGCCCAGGCCAGCTAACATCTTTTCTTCTCCAATTTGGCTGTCTGCCCTGCCCTTTGCTGTGGCTGCTCTCAGGTCATCTCTGCAATACCCACCAATTCTCTGAAGTTCCTGAAGGAGGCTGGGCATGGCACTATCAAGGAGGAGTTCCAAGAGGGACAGGAAGAGATTGATCTTGCTGAGATGGAGCTGCGCCGAGGCCAGGTCCTCTGGTTCCGTGGTCTAAACCGGATTCAGACTCAGGTACTCTGTAGTGGCTTGTCCTCACCCTGGGGGAAGAAATCTCTCCATCATGGGAAAGGGTGGGTAAGCAGCAATTCCTGGCAGCCAGCACCCTTTTCCCTTCATAAGGCTCGCTGCTCAAGGGCAGCCTGTGCTCCTTAGCTTCAGGACCAGAGGTCTCGGAGGGATTCTTCTAGGAGGGAATAGTCAACAGATGAGACCAGGGGCCACTATTCACAAGTTTATTAGCTGTGGTTGGCTACAGCCCATCCCAGGTCTGTCCTCAGAGCTGTCTTCCCACATAGGTCTATTCTAGCTCCAGTCATGACCCCAGGATAGGAAATGTGTAGGCCTTCCCTGCCTTGAAGGAAGAAATAAAAGACCGTGATTTTATAAAATTGGAAGGAACAGCTAGCATCCTGGCAGTCACTGAGTGTGACCTTTGTGCTGCCTTTGTGGTGAGTGCTGTTGTCTGAGGAGGTCTTTGTTAAAGGGGCTCACCTTCTTCTATCATCCTGCCTTGATGCAAGGCCTCTCTGGGGAATCTGAAGATTAAGTGGCTATAAACAGCAGTCTGTCAGTGCCTGATATCCTTGGAAGGATTCAGACTTACTTCTCAAAAAGGAAGAGGCTGTTTTTTTCTTCTAACCCCTTTCCATTCTCGTAATTTCTGAAATGGAATACAAATGAGTCCCCTGCTTGTAGCCCTAACCATAACCCCCCCCTACACACACACACACACACACACACACACACACACACACACACACACTTTCCATGAATAGCTACCTTCGGGTGAGCAGGCTGGCCTTGGCATTGATAATGCTTTTCCTCTGCTCTTTTCCTTGACCCTTTATTGTTTTACTGCCAAGATTCCTGAACAAACAATCAATTCCAAGATCTTGAGGGGGCTATCCTGAGTAAGGCCTATTCCTTCCTCCCAGTTGGATAGAGATCTCCAAAATATTTCATTTTCAAAAACTGGCCTTCAGCTGGTTTAGAGAACTGCTTGACTACCCTCCTCCCCTCCTTGGTGTACAGAGAAGATAAGCGAATGCACACTCTAAACTACCTGATAGGAACTATCCTCCCTGGAGCAAGACACCAGGTAGAACAGTGGGCAAGATACAGGTAGAAAACCCTGGGGCTCCTTTCCTCTCTCTCCCAGGAAGGGAATCAAATTGTGACCAGCAAAGACTGCCTCATGATGGCAAGTCCCCACCTCTGCCAGCCCTCCCTCTGAGTCCTTCCGGTACCTGTAGATCTTAGCACCTTGCCTCCCACCTCTAAAGGCCCCGTTGCCGTCTTTCAAGTCTGCTTTTTTCAAAATAACCTCTTTGCTTTTCTTCCATCCAGGATCACCTGCCTCCTCTTCTACTGTGTGACTGTTTTGTTTTGTTGTGTTTTCCTAGCCAGGATCCCTCATTCCAGGACCTCCTCTCTTCTTCGCAGTTTTCCTTCTGGGGAGCTGAGATTCATGGACCTTCCTTTTCCTTCACTGCCAGTTTCCATTCCCTCACCTGTACTCCTCTGTTTAATCCCACTGCACACATAGCTTTAGGCATACTTCTTTCCCTACTAGAGCATATGGTAGCTGGGCCAGAATGGCTTTTAAGCCTAAATTTGAGGCCAAGCATGGTGGCACATGTCTGTAATCTCAGCACTCAGGAGGCTGAGATGGAAGGATTCCTAGTTGCCAGCCTGGGCTATATTAGCTAGATCCGACTTCAAAAACAGATAATCAAAGGCCTAAATTTAGGCTCTAAAGGCAGCCTGTTAAAGATGCCACTGACAAGATCCATCCGGTCTGTTGTGATTGGCACCTGATTGAGCAAATGAGGCTGGTGTGCTAACTGCACCTTCCATGTCCAAAGCCCTCTCACCCCCACCGATTACTCAGCCTCAGCTGGATCCTTACAAAACCCCGTACTGTCTGGCTGCTGATCGGATTGCCCATCGTATTGCAGCATGGGGGCAGGGGTTGGGGAGGGGAGATGCTGCAAAGCTCCTGCCCAGGCCTGGTTAGGATTGCCCCTTTACCTGATTCTAGGCAGTTCTTCTTTTCACCTTTACCCTGCAGTTTGGGGGAGGTAAAAACACTAGAGAGCAAATATTTGAAGAATTAAAGGGCTGTACTCCTAGCACAGTAAATGCGGAGTGCAATTTCATTTGTGCAGAGTGGACAGTGTAACACTGTAAGCACCTAGGAAGGAGCCTCTGCCTTCTTTATGGGGCTTCAGCCTTCTCAAGGGCAACCCTCACCTCCTACATCTTCAGCCCTCAGACCGCTTAAAGGGTGGTGTTTTAGCTCAAGCTTGGTCTCTTCCTAAGCATTTCTCGGCTTCTCCAGAAGCTTGTATATCTCAGGCTTCTCCAGGAGCCTGACTCAGGAGGCACCTGCCATCCCATCTTCTAGGGTGGAGTCACAGGACAGAGTCAGCACCTTCTTTCTGCCACCCACCCCCCCATCCCCAGTAGTCCTAAGAGGATCCCAACTGATTTGTGAAGGATAAATGAATCCCCTTCTATTTGTTCCTTAGTACTTAGGGGTCAAGAAAAAGGGTAGTAGATTGATTAAGACCCCAGATCAGTGCATCTTTGGGGAAAGTGGTGGTTATTAATTGCCTGCATCCCTGAGGAGTAAGCTGAAAACCAACGGCCTGATCTGATAGACAAGTGGTCCAAGAGTTGCAGCCTTCCAGCACTGCCACCTGTGGGGCACCAGCCTGCCAGTAAAGGTCTCCAGGGCTTTGTGGCAATGAGCTGAATTCTGCCTCAGAATCCTGAGCTTCACTGCAGCCAGAGGAAGGATCAGGAAAGACACGTCATCCAAACTAAGCAGCCGAGTCTAGGAGTCTTTTCACCATGGCCACTGTGTGTAGACTACGTATTGCCCATTTTTCTTTAAACACAAGTTATTTTCCTGGAAATTTTGAAAAAAAAAATGATTGACTTAGTTGGTTTAGAGGCTCTTGAGCCTTAAATTTCAGTATTACATATTTTGTTTCTGGTATGTCAAATTGCTTGCCTTATTTTTAAGAGTATAGGTCAAAATAATGAATAAGCCACTGGTCTCTGCCTAGCTTTTAGTTGTGGGGAGAATTTCTTTTACATTTTAAAGGCCTTTGGACACCTGTCCAATCTGGGCTACAGAGAAAAGAAAACTGAATTGTAGCTGAGTGTTTGAAAATCCATAGCAAATAGTTCTTTAAACGAAGTGTGGTTTGCAATTAATGCCCTCTCCCACCTCTTCTTCACCTGTTGCTCTCAGTTTGAGGGTTATACTCTTGCTCTCCAACCCCTTTCCCCAGCCCTCCTGACCCCACCTTCCTCTTCCTTCTCTCTGTGGAGCAAAGCTGTCTCACTCTCTGATTCTTTACAGATTGAAGTAATTAACACATTCCAGACGGGAGCTTCTTTTAAGGGAGTCCTAAAGCGACAGAACATGAACCAACACCTTGATGTAAAGCTGGCTCCTAGCTCCTATTCAGAAGCAGTGGCACCAGTCAAATCTTCCCCTTCCACCTCCTCTGCTGGTCCACCTCCTCCTGTGGGCAGTGAGTCAGAGCCTGTTACAATGCATGATTTGCTAAATCGACCACAAGAGAGCACGTGACATCCACTTTAACCAACCATGGTTACTTGTCCTTTTGTGTTTTTTTTTTTTCCACCTTTGATCTTTTGATTTAAGGAAAGAAAAGACAAAAAAAAAAAAAAATCCTCCCCCAACTCCAGCTAAAACCAGGCTGTATGCCCTTGTATTTAATTTTTTTATGTTGGAAAGTTATACCTTAACTGTTTTAAAGACAATAACCCTATTTTCTGATTGTTCCTCTGCATTGCTTGCTGCTTCTTTTCTTGTTTGTTTGTTTGTTTGTTTTGCTTTGTTTGCTTTGTTTAGCCTCAGATTTTGCTTGCTGCTTTGTTCCTCCCCTCCTCTTCTGACTCTGCCTCTTTAGATATGAGATTAGTTACAACAAAGACCTAGGAACTCTCTTGGATGTGCAGGAGCCTCTGTCCCCAGGACCCTTCACCAGGGCCTGTGCTAATGGAGCCAGAACTGAACTTGTTGACTAGTTACGTTTCTTTCCGCTACCACTACACTGTTAGCTGGCAACAAAAGTTATAACTTGACTGGAAAAGAGAAGTTAGTCCAGCCTCTGTTTTCTTAACCTCTCAGAGATGGTTAAATCAAACGCTCGTTCAAGAACTATTTAATGCACACATGAGCAGCAGAAATAAAACCTTTCGGCCCACTTGGTGGTCTATGGCATCCCAGCTCTCAGGAAGCTGAGGCAAGAGGGTTATGAGTTTAGAAGTTTCTTAAGAGCCCCCTGTTTTCTCATCTTTTCATCTAGTTTGATTGTGAACCAGCCAACCCTGTGTATTGTATTTTGTACATTCTGTTTCAGGAAACCCTGACTGCCCAGGCTTAATTAGCACCTGTCAGGTTTCAGCCTCAGACCTGGCTACTCTCTCGCTGGGAGGTTGCTGGGCACTTGCTAATGCCTTCCTCTTTCTGGCTGGTTTAACTTCCCTTCGTGGAGCAGAGGAGAAGCATTCAGCTTGCTGTCCAGTGAGGGGCGTCCATGCTCCACCATCTCACACATCACAGGGACTTTACCTGAATGTGGGTGCCCTGTCCCCCCCCACACACACACACACACAGTCAGCCCTACGTTGCATTGCCTGTGTTTCACATGACTGTGGGGCAGGTTTTCCAGGCCTCAGCTACCTATAAGAGTTCTGGTATGAGTTGGGAATGGGAGTGGAGTTATAGTGATATAGTGATACTTTCTGTCCCCCCACACCCCACAAAGACAGGCCTGAAGGCACTAAATAAGTCTTGCCCTGCAAAGTGCAAAAGCCTCTCACTCTAGTCCTTTCTTAATCCCTTTTTTCTTAGTTCTCCCATCCTTTCTAACTAGTTTCTGTCCTGCTTAACCATTCATTTCTGTGGCAGAAAGGGCTAGTGCTGGCTCTCCCAGGGACTCAATGGCAGAGGCCAGACACCAGTGGGCTCAGAGGAGCTTGTAAGCCATGTACCCTGAGCCCCCAAAAGTTTAGACCATAGAAGAGATGGGCCACGTGTGCTCCTTCTCTAGCATGTCCCTTCCCTGGAGGTCCTAGGAGTTGCAGTTGTATATTTTCAAAGCCCACTTTCCCATCCCAGGGTGCTTTAAATGGCTTCAATTGGGCATGTGCTCTTCCTAAGGTCCCAAAGGCTTCCCTCTAGAAGGATGTCTCTAACCCTAGCCTATGAAAGGCGAGTAGAAAAGTAAAATATTCCAGCAGATAAATAGCACCTTCCTCAGATCTACACTGAGCTCAGAGTGTGCTCCACTCTCCCCTGGTGGGCCAGCTCCTGCCTCTTGAAGGAATTACTCTTCAATCAGCCCCTCAAGAAACATTGCCCAGAGCTTTTGAGAAATGATGTTCCAGGTGGCTGACTAAGCAGGGAATGCGTGACTCTTTCCCTATACCAGCTCTGCCAGCGCTCCTTGTCCCCACAAACTGCTCACACACCAGACCCTGTGCTCCTGGCACAGGATGCCAGCCTGGCGTCAGCTGGTGACTGTCCATCAGCACATGTTCTCTGAGCCAGTGTTGGAGTTGAGTAGTCTGGCCCAGGCCCCTGCCTCTCTCCCTCACCCTTTCCCCTTCCCCCTGGTCCAGGTGGTTCTCCCCAGTTCCCTGACTCCTTGCTTGAGGTCCCTTACAGGTGCCTGGCTCCCCGAAGTCTCTGGAAGTCTTGATATCTAATAGATGACTGTTCTTTGCTTCCCACCTGCCCATCCCTCTTCATTCTATCTCCTTTATTTGTTTGCCCATAAGAGTGTTATGAATCACCCCAACAGGGGAAAGAAAAAGCCCACAGACAAGCCCCAGACTCTTCAACCCTAATTTTCAAAACTAAACTCTTGTTTTATAATGGATTTCACATATAATTGCTACAATAAACTGTCCAGTTGCTTAAAAACAAACCAAACAAACAAACAAAAAACTAGAAGACGATGAACTAATGATAGATATAAAGGTCCCTTCCCTTCTGTAGGACCCTGAGAAATGTGGAGCATACAACAGGAGATGAAAATACTGCTACTGCACCTACCAAGGAGAGTAGGCTTTGGACTTTTCCCCTGGCCAGATTATCTATACCAGGGCTAAGGGCGAAGACACTGAGTTTGAGCTCATTTAATCTAACTTATCTTATGCAAATATTTCAAGTATAGGCTAACTTGGGACCACCCAGACGTTAGGAGCCTCCATTCTGCCTGATCTTACCCAGATCTGAACAGAGGAAACCTGACTGGTGAAAGCCACCACCAGATGGTCAGTAGATCCACAGAAGGATGGAAAGCAGTCCCTCACTGTCTTCCAGGAGGTCCCAGATGCCTTTACGCTTCTCATGTATGCTGCAGTGTTGAGTTGACAGTTGAGTGACAGAGTCCCTTGCCTTCCAAGCTCTGAACACTCTAGTCATGGATGGGTTTGTAGCTACTATAGAGGAGAGAGGCCACAGAAGGAAAGCCTCAGCAGAGAAGAGAGCACCACAGTTCTGATGGTGAGGCTGCTGTAGGCAATGTCTTTGAGGGATCAGTAAAATTATGAGATGTCCCAGGACAGGAAATCCAGCTGGTTTATTTGGCTGACTGTGTGATGCTATCTCCATACTCTTGCTTCTTCTGTAGGGATTATTTTTATTTAACAGCAGAAGAATGAAAGAGACACTCTTATCCCAATGCCTTCTACTCCTTCCTAACCTCCTCCTGACCTAGCAATTTCTTTTGCATTACTCTCATTTCTTTTCTGAGAGAGAATGCATCTGAACTAGACAAGGATTGACCACTTCCCCCAACAAAAACCATCTTATAACCCCCAGCCTTTCCTGGCCTCCCTTCTCTGTTCTCTCTGGCATCTAACCCTCCCCAACACCACACACCAGTCTATCAACCCAGATTCTAAACCATGCTTGAGTAACACAGTTCAGAAATGTAGAATTAGCAAGACAATAACAATGGAGGGGGAGACACCAAAAGGATAAATGCTAATGATTAAGCAAAAGCTGCTCCCAGTATTGATTGCAGCCAGTCTTCTCTAGACTCCTGACTGACTGAGTCCCTTCTTCTCAGCAGCAGACTGAAGACTGACAGGGCAACATGTTTGTCCTCTCCCCAGGAACACTGCAAAGTGTCTCCTTTCTTCATTCTTTTCCACTGTCCTGTCAGAAAAGCCAGTCATTTGACGCTGGCCTCCTGGATTAGGTTTCTGTCCTGGTCCTCTGCTTCTTTTACACTGGGTCATATATCTCTTCACACTATGCAAATGGCTGGGCAAAGCAGCATGAATTTACACTTTGGGTTTGAGCAACATTGCTATAGATTGGGTATAGACGTGCACTTGAATGGTGAACACCAGGCCTTCCTCAATAGACAGGGAAAGGCTTCTTTTCACACCGATGATTTGTCTGCATCTTCTAGAGGACAAGCGCATAGAGGGGAGGCTTTCGTGGCAGAGGGGACACAGTGAGGTTGTGGGATGTGAAGAAGGGCATGTCTTCTGAAGCACCAGTCAGGGACGTTTCATTTCCCGCATGCTGTAGAATGAAGGTTGGTTTGTCTGCCTGTGCACAGTACCCAGGGTCACGCATCACCCAGTGTCTATCGTGTGCAAATTGGCGAATGTTGGCTTTTGAGGGGTTTGAAACATATCACAAAACTGCAGTGTGTAATTTTCCCATCCCACATTCACAAAAGGTTTGGCCTCCATACAGAAAGTCACCATGTGAATTGTCTTTTAAGTTCATTCATTAATGTCAACTTGGTTCCTATATGCTGCACTCCATCCAAAAGAACTAATGAATTTCCTGGCTTGACTTCATTTTAAGAGAGGGTTGTTTGGGAATGCTAAGTTTGCTTTGTGCTGCTTCTTGGAATGCAACCTTTGAAGTGTTCTTATTGTCTGCGTCACTCACTCCGCCCCTTGCTTGAGATCTGAGGTGTGCAATGGTTTGGGTCATTGAGCCATCATGTTTGGTGGCTCAGGGTTTGTTTCTCTCCCCTAACCACTTAAGTTTTCTTGTTCTGCTTGTAAATTCTCACCTCCCTATCTTCTCATCCTCTTTCTTGTTCCCCTGGTATAGATCAAAGTGGTCAAAATGTTCCATAATGTCCAAGACGCCATTCAAAATTCCAACAACCAAAGCTCCATCCACAGTTTCATGACCTCGCCTGAATATACTGCAGAAGAGGAATATCCACAGACATTAATAGGTGATAAAGAAGATAATATATCAACTACTAAGGAGGAGACTAGGGTGCTCCTGTTGGATGGTGAGGCTGCTCCTCAAGACAACACAAACAATGCCGTGGATTGCAACCAAAAGCAAATCATTGCCTCCCATTCTGGCAGCCCTCTCCAAAGCCTGGAGACATCAGTTTGAACTTCTGTTCTCTAATTCCCGTCCCTGCTTTCCCTGTTTCTTTTCTCTTCTGTCCCATCTATAAGGTAATGATGGGACTTGTCACTGTTATATCAGCTGCACCTAAGTGTGTGAGAACCCCCACCTGACCATGAAGAAGCAAGAGCAGAGACCTACAAGGATTCAAACCCTGGGCAGGTAATGGTAGATCTCCTCCTTAGGTATACCAGTTGTCATTTTTAAAGAAACGATGACATCCTTGGCATCACCCAACCCAAAGATTCCCACATGTGTCACCACCTCCTGACTCGGAGATTTTATTCTCTGAGTTTCTGCCATTTACAAGCTAAGTTGTGGGCTCAGGGAGAGACAAATACCCTGTGTTTATGTTTCAGTAGAGTGATTATTCTCAAAACATTTTTTTTTCTATTTTGAAAATGTATGCTCTAAGGCCTCAAGCTCTTCCTGCCCTTCAGTCTGACCTCTCCAAGGTTCTCTGGATCTTAGATTCTCTATGACCCTTATCATCTTTCCTTTTATTCTTTTTTTTTTAAACTGTAGTAATTACAAGAATGGAAAGGACATGGACATGTTGAGTCAACTGTGGCCCTTCTGGCCCCAAGAGAACCTTTCATTTTGTTCTAGAGGCTGGCAGATTTCTTGGCTAAAATGGTCTTTTTGGAGCAAATGAGATGGTGAAGTATTTCCCTGTTGTTACCAGATCAGCTCCGACTTCTGAATGTCAATCTTCTTGGGTGCATAGGGTTTTTTAAGTGCCAGGGAAATCAGCCATGACCGTGAAGCTTGCATATGTGTAATATACAGTTTTTACCATAAGCCTGAGCTTCTTCCTTATAGAGTGGTAGCAAGAGAATGAATGGGGCACGATCCTGCCTTCTAGCTAGATGAAGAGTTTCAGGACCAATATGGGGCAGGCCTAGGACCAGAAATCAAGAAGCAGACTATTTTCAAGGGCATTTGCCAAGGTTCTTTCAGGGCAGAAACTACTGTTGGGGGAATGAGTGTTACAAATCCTTGGGAGGGGCTAAAGAGCCAATCCTTCCCGGGTCTAAGAAAATCTCCCTGCAGGCTAGATGCCTGGGTACCAGCTTTGCCATTCTCTTCACTTTCCTTATTCTATGCTTTGTTTTGCTTTCCATCGCTAAGGAGGTCCCTAACTTTTGCAAATACTTCAATGTTGAAAAAGCATAGCCAAAAGAAGATACTTTCTGACAGTGCCCAGATTCAAGGTGCAAAAGGCCCTCCCTGGAAAGCTCTCTGCCCCCTCTCCTGGCTTTCACACACCCTCTTCCAGCTTTCAGCAGCCTGCTCCATGGCAGCCTGGGAAAGCCCGTGCCTTTCTACCCTGAACACTGCCCAGAGCATCCTCTGCCCACCTTCCTCTCAAGAGCTGGAAAGTTCACCAAAAGGGACTTCGCCTTACTGGGACAAGGTGGAGGCACATTCCCAGGTGCTCCGTTTGTATCCCTGCTGTGCTGATTTAAGCATTTTTGTGCAGGTGGATTCATGTCCCTTAGTCCCGTCTCCCATTAGGTCAGTGAAGCCTGCCTCCCTCTTTCTAGGGGGATGGGAATAAGAGAGGGTGCATGAGGCTCATGAGAACTGACAGGTTTCCACTTGGGAGAGAAAGGCAAGATGGACTTGTCCACTCTTAGCCTTTTCTTCTACAGATCTTCTTTCCCCACTTGTCACCCAAGCTGCCCAGATAGCATGAGTGAAGAAACAGTCGCCATTCCACTCTCATTCCAGCGTAACCCATCGTTATAGGAAGTAGGGAAAAGGTTTAAGTTGGATTTTGTAAAATTACACACTTCAGCAATCATCTTGTGGAGGAAAAAGCATCTCACTTGAGGTGTTAGTTATCTAAAAATGTATATTTAAGTACTTTAGAAGATTTGATTACCTCAGATAATTTTTTAAAAGCAAGCCAATAACCAGCTTCGAGGGCCATTTCACCATCCTTGCTTCCAAGGATCTTGTGGTGCCTGGCAGGCTACTCCGAGTGCTTATGTCTACTTTTTCAAAGTCAACAGGTTTTTGTGTGTGTGCATGTTCTAGTTTCCATAGTAAGAGAGAAAATAGGGAAATATTATGCAAAAAAACTATAGTTTTCTTTAGATCAGAAACTGATATTTTTGAGTCATATATATATGTTGTTGAAGGAATTTCAAATAAAGTGCTGTCATGTAACACTGTGGAAGGGAGCACACAACCAGCTGTTTGACATGACAGGTGACTCAGTATATTTGTAATTGGTTTAAAAAAAAAAAAACTATAACATACTTCCTTTCTCCGAGCAGCCATCTTTATATTTAGGGAAAAAAAATTGTTGGGTTCTAGACTTTTTTAATATGAACTTTGTTGATATGGAATTGAATGAGTTCAAGTGTTTCTGTGCATATGTTTTTATATGTTTTTTTCTATTCGGTTTCAGTGATCCAGGTAGCAGTGAGTAAATATAACATAAGTTAATAACACTTTCCCCTAAATGGTGCTTCGGATTTGAAAGAGGTCTGATGGGGAGAAAGAGACTATATCCTAGAGCCCTTGTTTGATAAACCTAGAAAAAAACGGGTAAGAACCTGCAGGTAGCAAAGGAAACACCTACAAAGAGGCTTCTCAGCTGTCAGGACATGGGTGTATGCTGCCATGGAGAGAAAGTGCCAGGCTTGTTGGTAACCAGGCTTGAGGATCAGTTGGGTTTCTGTCTCTTGAGGAATTAGATGGCAGAATGGTATGACAGTCTGGTCCCTCCTGGTTGTCAAGGCTACTCTGATATGGAGTTTTCATTTCTTTATTTTTCTTTCACTTCCTCTTTCCCCTGGAGTGACCCCATCAGTGAGTTTCTGTGTATAGATCTGAGTTGTGACATCCTTCTGTTTCATATGATACAGCAGACTGGAGACAGAGCTCCAAATTGGAAAAGATAAATACGACAATGGCTACTTGCAGCTCTGTCTGACGGTCTCAGGCTAGGTCCTTCTCAACCGTCCTTCGCTGTCTTTAACATACTATCCTCATCCCAAAAGACTTAAGAGAGACCAGCTAGGCTCCCTTTGGGCACTCATGGATTCCTCGGGTTTAGATTTCTTTTTGCCTTCAGGCTTTAGGGGAGAGTTGCACAGCTCAATGACAGTGACTACCTCACTGCCGAAAACCCAGAGGGGCACTGGAACTTGAGCGTGCCAGAATCCTCTCCTGTACCCTTCCCTTCCCTCCCCCCGCCTTACAATTGAGGATACATGTGGTACCGTCCCCATCTGCACACCCGATGCCCTTCTGCGTCCAGGACCCGCCCCGTGGCACTGGGGGAATGGGCACTTACAATGCCTACTGTTCTAAAGCCATTCCAGCCTCCTCCTCAGAATAGACCAGACACCCACCCTCCCTCCCTTCCGTTTAGCTCAGAGCCAGAACTTTTGCCTTCCCAGCTCTGCAGTTAGGCCTGCTGTCCCCTTTCTTCTTGGTTGGGAGAGGTGACAGGAGATGAGCTCCCTGCAACTGAATCAGCCTTTGGTTCATGTTTTCTCCCCGTATGTATATATGCCATATGTAAATATGCCATATATGTGCCAACAAATTGATCTACGCCATCTTTTCTAGTCGGCATGCAGATAGGAATTTTGAGTTTCTTCTCATTAACTAGTATAATGAGCACTGGTATTTTTGTACAAAAGAAAAAGGAAAAAAAAAACCCAGAAAATTGACTTTTGTGGTCTGCATGACAGACATGAGATATCAAAGCAATGTATATCCCAGCGTGTGTTGCTATAGTTTGCAGTTCAGCTTAACAGTGCACCCAATCTGTATTTGCATTTGATATTATTTAAGCTCTGTGTATAATGTTTTGCATGTATTTATGTGGTTCTTGGGAGGGGGGAAGCTATAAACTGACAAATCTGTACTGCAAATGTGTTATCCCATTGACACAGGATGAAAAGGAGTTTTAAAGGGGGTAATTTTTTTGGAACCAATAAAGCTTTTTGCTGATGAACAGAAACCAATGCCATGCACTGAGAATAAAAACCCGTGCCCACTTGTAATGTGCTGTGGTCCATGTGTTTATACTTTTGGGTCGTACCACTGGAGCTGCTGGAGCTGAGAATGGTTTTCCCTTCACCACCTTTGGAGCAAGCTTAGGGCTCACTACCCTGAGGACCAGCCTCATTCCTTTGAAGAAGCAGCGTTTTTGTGCACAGTTAAAGTTGGGTAGAGTGCACAATCCAGGTCAGGAAAGCTGAGGTCTTGGGAAGGATGAACAAGACGATGCCTAGCATAGGCCCTCCTTCTTCTCATTCTTCCCCTCCTCCCCATCTCTTCCCCCTTCTCACGTTGCCCCCTCCCCCTTCTTAAAATGCTTTTATACAAAGTTAGTCCCTCCCTATAGTGACTGCTTTTTTCAGGGAGACAGTCTCCATGGTTGTTTTTGTTTTTAATCATCCCTTTCATTGCCTTTGGGCATGGCTGGCATTAGACCCTGATGAGTCTTTGTAGCTCTCACCCAGGTATACAGTCACGTTCCCTGCTCCCTTTTAAGTCACCCCCTCTAGAAAAGGACCCTGTCTCTTGTCTTGGTTTCCTTAGGAAAAGTATGTTAGTGAAGGACAGCCAGCATTCACTGGTAGTTTCTAAAGGTGCTGGTTCAAAAGTAGGACCAACCTGGATGAAAAGACTCAGGCTATGTCTCTTTAAAAAAAAAAAAAAAAAAAAAAAAGGCTGGGTAGTGGTGGCACATGCCTTTAATCCCAGCACTCAGGAAGGAGAAACAGGAGGATCACTGTGAGTTTAAGGCCAGCCTGTTCTACAGAGTGAGTTCCAGAACAGCCAAGAATACACAGACAAAGCTGTCTCAAAAAAAAAAAAAAAGTTTTTTGTTTCTATGTATATGAGTGTTTTGTCTTCGTGTATGTCTATATACCTTATGCCTGATGCCCAGGGAAGCCAGAGGATGTCTTTGGAGTCCTGGAATTGGACTTACAGATGGTTTTGAGCCTCTATGTGGGTGCTGGGAGCAGCAAGTGCTCTTAACTACTGAGCCATCTCTCCAGCCCCCAGCCTAAGGATTATCCCCAGCTTTCTCATTTGTCCCTGATTGCTTTCCATAGGCACTGACATATGGACCATTTAGTTTCTTTTAAATGGAGGCTGGGAGGTAGTTAATTAAATAAATTTAAACTTTAAAGGAATTGGAGCCTTATTTGATAACGAAAGCCATAAAAGAGTCACAATAAAACTTGCTTTTTTTTCCCATTGTAAGTGCCTTCCTAAATACCCTTGCTAGAAAGGATGTCACACACACACACACACACACACACACACACACACACACACACACGTGTGTAAATGTAAGATCCTTTGACCCCATATTTCTCCTTTTACCCTCCCATCTTGTCATTATTGGGTGTATATCTGAGCCTTTCTGCTAAGACATCAGATCTTAAAAACACAACCTCCCAATTTGGATAGTAAGGAATGGTGTCTGGCCAAGACTGCTGTTTCTTAAGGTATTAGTTCTGTGGGGCATAAAGGCCACTTTGGTTCCTCTGGCACAGTTGAACATGAAAGAGAGCAGGTTCTTACCTTCTTTCCTTCCAGTTTTAGAAGATAATGATAATAATAATTGCATCTTTAGTAATTCAAAATCTCCTCTCTTGGTTATGTGTCTTCTCAGTGTAGTCACTGAGTAGTTTAAAGTTATTGCTGTGCCTGCCTGATTCCTTCCCAAGCCAGGGTGCTGTGGCAGGTCCACAGATAACCCCTGTGGTTACCAGCTCCTGCTCTGCATCTGTCAGGACATGATCTTGTCACTGGAAGCAGGAAGAAGAGGAATGGTCTGTCTTGACAGGCAAATGATTTTACAACTTTACTGTGAATAAAACAAATATGTCCTTTTATGGCTGTGTGGTGTCCTGAACTTCTGACTGCCTTCAGTGTGAACCTAAGTCATAAGAAATAGGTTGGGCATGGTGGCATGTGCCTTTAATCCCCACATTGAAAGGCAGAGGCAGACAGATCTCTGTGATTTCAAGGCCACCTGGTCTACAGAGTGAGTTCCAGTATAGCCAGGGCTATGTAGGAGACCCTCCCTGTAGGAGGACTCTGATCTCAGCTTTGCTTCTTCACTACCTGGGTTTTCCATGCTCTGCAAGGGCATCAAGATACATGGCTGGTTTTCAAACTACATTTGAAACTCAGAAAATCCTCAAAGATGATTCAGAGCACAGGTGTTTGACAAAAATAGTGGTTCTTTTTAAAAAGTGTTTTGTTTTGTTTTTGACCATGTGACTGGGGCCTGTAATCCAGGCACTTGGAAGCCTGAGGCAGAACTGCAATGCATTCAAGAACAAAAGTTTATGCTACACGCTGAGGTCAAGAACCACCTAAGCTACAGAGTGAGTAAGTCCCTGTGTCAAAAGACAGACGTTTGTTTGTAGGGTTTGTTTTATTTCATGTGTATGAGCATTTGCCTATATCTATCTATGTACGCCATGTGTGTACCTCCTGGTGACTAAGGAGTAAGAAGAGGGCAGATACTTTAGAACAGGAGTTACAGGTGGTTGTGAACCTCCATATGGGTGCTGGAAAACGAACTCAGGTCCTCTGTAAGAGCAAAAAGTGCTCTTAAGTGCTGAGCTATCTCTCTAGCCCCTTTGTTTGATTTTTGTTTGTTTGTTGTTTGGTTTGCTTTGGGTTTGTCCTCCAGAGTAGCTGTACCTTTCTAAATGACTTACAAACATTGAACTAGGGACTGAAGAGACGACTCAGCAATCTAGGCATCTGCTGCTTTTTCCAAGGACTCCTGTTCAGGTCCCAGCACTGACATCAGGCAGCTTGCAACTGTCTGGTAATGTCATTTTCAGGGCATCTGAAATTCTGGCCTCCATGGGTACCTGCACACACATGGTACATATATGTACAGCAGACATACATACATGCACACAAATTTAAATGAACAAAAAATTTTAAAAAGGACATTGAACTAGCTTATGGAGAAGGTCTCTGCCATCTCTAAAATGTTGATTTTAATTTAACAACAACAACAAAATTAAACAGAGGGCTGGGGAGATAACTCAGTGAAGTGCTTGCCATTCGAGCAAGAAGACATGAGTTCAGTCCCAGAAGCTCCTTGAAAAAACAAACAAACAAACAAACAAAAACAGGCATAGTGATTGTTGGTATTTACATAAAAATTATGCCATGCATACAACAAATCTTATATGAAAGAGTTTTTTTCAGGGGAAGGGAAGTGGAAGAGAGTTAGGACCTGAGTGAGCCATGAGGGCAGAGAGATGGGAGGGGGGATGACAGAGAAACAAAGGCAGAGAGAGCAAAAGAGGAGAGCAAGAGAGAGAGGGTGGAGGTGGCAGACTGGTTCTGTCTGAAGCAGCTGCCCGGGAAGATGACATAGGACGCAGGTACTGACCAATGTTGTCAGGACTCTAAAGGCCTGTAAGGGCGGGCCGGTTGAATTGTTTGTACAACAGAACATTCTTCCCCTTTTGTTTAATTAAACAAATGAGGAAATAGGGTGGTGTGGTGAGGAGGGATGAGGACTTTGGGCTGCTTCTCCTGCAAGGCAAGTTAAAGTATATAAACGTAGGTTCATTGGAAGCTCTTGATCACCATGGAAGGAGGTAAGAGAGCGAGAAAGAGAGAAAAGAGCACCAAAATGTCCAGATTACATGGTGAAGAGGAGGGGAAGCCCTGGCCCTGGAAAGTTCAAGATAAGGGTTGGGGTTTTCCAGCCATGCACTCCAGCATATAGGGACCAAGGAATGCTGGGAGAACCTGGAGATATTTGTCTTGAAGCACACCATTTTAGCCTTTTGTTAATGATGAACAGAGAATGGGTGATGACTCTCTTCTGGCTACTTCCTGCTGACACTGGGGTGGTGATAGGGAAGCCACAAAGCTGGAATGTTGGCCAAGTCCAGGAAGAGCAGGCTGTTGTATTTGCTGTCCAGAATCTGAGAATATCTGTGGCTGGGAAGGAAAGTGCAGGCCCGGCTTGATGCAGTCTACAAGGTTAGACTGGAGCATCTGTGGGGAGCTGCCTTGGTGCTGTCTTAGGTGTAGGAATGACCTGCAGGATACTAGAATGTATATATGGGCAGAAGGAAAAGTTAAGTAGGTTATAGAGAAAATTCCCTTTAGGTGTACATTTGAAACTTTGGGGAGAGCAAGTAGAGAGGGAAGGTTTTGTATTGAAGAAGACTTGGGCATGGGACCTCCATTAACCCGATTGCTGGCAATAATTCAAAAACATTTTGTTTTGGATCTGTCATCTAAGGGATACTGAGGCCAAGTCTGGTTGAAGAGGCATGTAAGCTTAGAAACCCTTAAAGTAGGCGCTAGGTGTAGAAATCTGAAATTCTGCAGAAGACATCCCAGAGGAGAATTTGGAGGATGGACAGATGGTCTGTCCCATTGGGCAGGCAGGAGCAGTGGCCTATCAAGGTGTAACAAGAGCAAGATCTGACTCAGTAGATTGGTGTGGTACAGTATGTTCCAACAGCTTTTCAGCGTTGGCCAGAGACCAAGGGCACAATTGCCTGTAGCAGACCTGGTTTACCTAGCTGGGGTGACAAAGATAGATAGAAAACTAGGGCTCACTGGCCTGCCAGCCATGCAAGCCTAACCAGTGAGCAGATAAAGACCCTTTCCCACAAAGCTAGGAAGACCAGGAGGTAGTGGCACACTAGTTTCATCACAGGGCTCAGGAGGCAGAGGTAAGCAGATCTTTGAGTTCAAGGACAGCCTGGTCTACAGAGGGAATTACAGGACAGCTAGGGCTGTTACACAGAGAAACCTCTCTTTAAAAGAAAAAACAAAAAACAAAACCTAGATGGGTGGATGCTGAGAACATCATTCAAGGTGTTCACACCAGACCACTGACCTCTGCCTTTCACAGATCTAAATATACATAGTAACACATACACACACACACACACACACACACACACAAACACACACACACAAACACACACACACACATACATGTGTGTATGTATCCAGTACATGTTTGAAAACAAGCCTA